CCCCAATAAATAAAATAAAATAAGAACTCATTCTCAAAAAAGATAAACGCCATTCTTAAAATGTATAAACGAAAAAAGCGATCATGAAAATGTTTACAGTAAATGAATAAAACGTTTTTTGACCACTTTGTTGTTCAGATATATCACATATTTGTAATTAAATGATACATTAAATGAAACAAAACACAGTATAGACTGAGGAGTGACTCTCGTGAGTTTCATGTATTTTCTTCACTCCGCCGGGAAACGGCTCTCATGTCAAGAAGCATCAGATCAGTGCATGCACTGCATCGTCCAATCAGTGAGCGATACACAGTAAGGGGGCGGGGCGATTATCTGTGGATTTCATCGGAGGATGGTCAGGTGATTCCTCGATTATCGCTCCTCCGTTATCACTCCTCCGTTATCGCTCCTCGATCCTCCGGCAGAAATAAGCGCCATGGGCGCAGACAAATCAACTTCCGGTGATACATTCCGTGCACATTTCTTCGTCTGCTGTACCACATGTCAAGGGGAAATGTTCTACTTTTTACTTCTGTCCATTTATTTTACAGGTTCCGTTCCTAGATAATTAACACATTTACATTTTGCAAACAAAGAAATGCACAAGAATATTTAGGCTTTCATGTACAGCTGGAAAGTTAAGCCCATTAATATATTAGGAATATGTTTATTGTTTCAGTAACTCTACATGTAAAAACAGTATATTCCCAGCTTCTAAAATGTTTTCTGCATTGTGTAATTATTCTTTTTAAATTTAAAGTAGATGCTCCTCATTATACGTGATGATATTTTCAGTTTTACCTAAATTAATTATCTAAATATTTATTCGGCCATTGGTCATCAGTGAACTCATTTATTTTATCCAGTTTAGTAGTATAAAGACTCTTCCTGAACAAAGGCAGAGCTTTGGTGGGGCAACATTATCTGTATCAGTTTTATTCCGTAATGTTATTCTTGTCATTTCTCCATCGCACCTCAATTCCATGAAGGAAGTTTTGAAATATCCAGTTTTAGAGTAGAAGCAGAGAGTTTAAATCCCTACACCCTGTGTAGTTGCTTTGCTGTTTTACTACTTTAAATGACAGAGAAAGATGGAGTGTTGTGAAAAATGCGCAGCAGCAGGAGGAAGTGAAACGGTTTTAGGTGAGAGGTTAGGAGACGTGGGCTTATACAACACTTTGAGGCCGTGAACCCTGCGGATGGGAAGTAGAGCAGATTAAAAAGAACAAACGGCAAACTGTTAGTGTTGATCCAAACCAAGGAAGAAAAGGTTGGACAAAAGGCTCCATCGCTGCTTCTTGTCTCCTCAGATCTCATGACATTCCTACATTTAATCTTGTGCCTTCAATCAATTTGTAAAAGTTGTCAAATCATTTTTTTAACTGGAATAAAAACAAAGCCTGTGTGTGTGTTTGTTTAGGTTGCAGCAGAATACTGTAAAGACACCACCCTGCTGCTGATGGGAGTCATCTGCCTTGCAGCCTCCATAGAGAAGTGGAACCTGCACAAACGCATCGCTCTGCGCATGGTAATGATCGCAGGGGCCAAGCCTGGCATGTAAGCAATACACACGCAGACGCACACGCACACACATACACAAACAATACAACATTTTAAAGATAATTTATGGGCCAACAGGGCCTTTTTTTTTTAAAGTCAGATTTGAAAAGACAGAGGGGACGAACCCCAGCAGTTCCTCTCATATTAACTAATTCAGCTCCCTGTCTCTCCTGCAGGTTGGTGCTGGGCTTCATGTGCTGCACAGTGTTCCTGTCCATGTGGCTCAGCAACACGTCCACCACAGCCATGGTGATGCCCATAGCCGAGGCCGTCCTGCAGCAGCTGATCTGCACCGGCCTGGCCGACGGACACGCCGACTCAGAAACCGTAGAGGCGCCTGAGGACGACAGCGGTATGTCTGGCTCAGTCACCACAGGGGAGGGGGGGGTGGGGGTCTCTGAACAGTGAAGGCTTCAATGTTGACCTTAAACAGATGTTGATAGCAGCACTTCTACCAACACCCACACAGGACTGTAAATGGTTGATCTGGGTGAGAACCATGTGATGATGGTGTATTCAACTGTAGCACAACAACATTTGTAGTTAATAGAAAAATGTAACAAGTTCCACCAACAATTGTTTTGTTACACGCTAATTTTGATCATCGTTTGTGCAGCTGCTTCAGAAAAAGAGGAGGACAACCTGGAGAAAAACCAGCTAGAGCTGCTCTACCACAACAACAGGTACGTGCATGTGTGTATTTAACATTAAACAAGATTGCTTTCGGAAATACTCATCCATTGGCTTGTCTGACTAAATGGAAACCAAAATGTTCGCTGAGTTCTTTGTTATTGTTCATTTTCTCTCCTCTTCTCTCTGCAGCAGTGTCTGCTTTAAGCAGGAGCTAACAACACTCAGTGAGGTGAGACCAACAGAGGCTTTTCCACCAAGCAGACGCTCAACAAATAACCAGCAGTCATATAATGCAAGTGAAGGATTTCTCTCTGAGTCTTCTTGTCTTGTTCTCAGGTGCAGTGTTGTAAGGGGAATGGTGTGGAGGCAACCTCTAACCTGACGTACATCAGGCACACCAACGGACTCCTGCCTCAGGTTGGGAACACACACACACACACACATTCACGAGAAATTAAAGAGGCGTAATACATTTTTTGCTTGATTTACGATATTCCCCTCCCTCTCTCTCAGGTTGCGATTGAGTTCCCA